TGCATGCTATACTTCGAGGGATACCATGGGGCGAATAGTGCTCACGACCATCATTTATGGTTAACACATATTCTTTAGCCCTGTCACTTCACAATCATCTAATTCCATCAATAGTTCACGATATATTATAAGGGATAGCAAGGGTATATACAAGACAAGAAACCCTAAAAAAGTGATACAAGAGGGTAGAAAACATAAACATAAACATGAAAACATAAAAAAACACAAGTCATCTGGTCCAAGCCAGCGCTATACATTACTCAATCAATGAGTGCATCGAGGATCTCACGACGAAGACCCGCTTCCCAGAGTCGATAAGTACCCAGAGAAGTCCTCTACCGAGGCAGCAGGAGCAAAGCCGTCGGCACTGGTGGGCCGTCACTGCGTTCAAGCAGGGCTTGGAGAATGGCGTCAAATGCAGCCATTCATCTCGACTTCGCTGTCATCCACGGATTTCTCGAGCGAGCAAGATTGCTACACGCGCTAGGGTATTGCAGTACTCTTACTAATCCCACATCGCGGTATTGAGTGGCATCAACGCTGTTAAATGGGCGACCGTTTGTGTTTGGTCATCTGAGGTGGTAAATCGGGCGCCTGGGGATGCCGCGAGGATTTGATGGAGGATGGATGTTTCTTGGACTGCCGTGTGTTGGATCATATACAATGATTGGGAAGGGGGTTGTCGCATCAGTATACGGCAAGCTGTTCACAGGATCGGAGAAAGTCGAATAATTCTTCGTACTGGATCTCATCTGCTGGGATCGCTTCTGAGTAAGGTGGGAATGTTGGTTGAGGTTCGGGGCTGACTTCTGAGAAGCCCGAGGAGGTGGAATATAGCGGAGATAGCATTGAGCGGGGGCTTAGAGTGGGCTGGGGTGCTGATGGTAAAGGCTCAGATGAGGCTGGCGCATGTTGGTCATGATCATAGAAGAAGGTCTCATCTCCCGGCAAGATATAGTTCTGCCAGTTGGTCATCTCGCGTGCGTCTCGCATGTGCACCTGGCTTATTTCCTTGTGGCCTAGTCGGGGATCATAATCCCCCAAGGCTGCGGTATTCAGACAGGAAATGATTGCATCATCGGAGATTTCGTGAGGGTTGTCGGAGCGGTGCTCCTGGAGCACGGAGACAGCAGGATCGCAAAGAATAAGGGGATTTTGAGTTTCGTCTTCATCACGAAGAATTAGCTGCATATACTAGAAATGGTGATTTGGAATGCAACAGTACCTTTGATTATCCCAGGCACAAAAGTCGGTGTATAACAGTCGTTGGCCATGGGTGACCGGTAATGGGTTTCATAGGAGGAGGCTGGCATATCGTCCACATAGGAGTCAAATATTCCGTGTGCATCTCGCTCCAACTCTATAGGAAGAGTGTTGAATGTGTCGAATTGCGCATCGCTGATCATAGTAGTTGGCGATGGCACGAACTGATATGGGAGCATGGAGGCTGGTGGCCATGAGAAATTGTTGAGATGTAGATCATAGTTCGGACAACTTTGTGGATGTACATCAACAAAGTCGTCTAGTAGAAGAGGAAGATCGTGAGATTGGACAGAAGATGACCGTGGAGGAAACCGAGGAATATCATTAGATTCAATCAACGGAGGAACCGATGAGATAGGATCCAAAACAAACATATCGCAGTTAGCCTCACCATTGAGATCTTCTCTGCGTGTAGCTTGCTGGATCCTGGTTGATCTCCTCACTCGGGGTTCGTTGTTATTGTTGTCACCGTCTGAATTCGCTTTCTTCTCTGACCTTCGTTGTGCACCCCGAGTCTTCCTGCGCTCCCCACGTTTTGCTTGTGGTGCCTCTTCTTCACTTTCACTTTGTCGAGTGCCGCCTTTCTTCTGGCGCATATATTCTTGCATAACGTGACGCTTCACTTGGGTTAAGTTGGTTCGCCTATTCTTCGAAGAGTCGATGAATTGCCACCGCCCATTGCTGGCAGCCTTATCAAGAAAGGTTGACATCTTTCTGGTAGCAGAAGAAACGTATATGAGCCGTGCGTCTCCTTGTGGGGCAAAGGAGGGATAGCATGGAGAGGTTTGAGGATATAATCGCTGGGGCGAGTCCAATGTCCGCCCTTAAAAGAAAGAGATCCAAGAATAGAACGCCGAAGGAAGAATGGGGCGACTCTTCAAATATTGATCTAACGTAAAAAGAAATATACTAACGCACGATCAGGATAACTAGATACAGAGCATTAATCGGGATATGCTTCTCCACTCATCGTCTTTAGACTAGACTAGAACGGTCTTCCAGCACATTGGCCAACAAGTGTGGAGATCAGCATTACAGCGGGCCAGGGCGCAAATAGCCGTGTATGAGCTATGCACTGTTGATAGCTTGGGGGGTCAAAGTACTAATTGAGACCCCAGCTGGGGCGCCAGGGTCGATAGGATCATCCCCTGAAAAGCCGTGACAAAACCAGCTTTCCATATTGTCCGGCCCATGTTAGGCAAAGCTTGATCTACCGAGTCCATATTTCACAGCAAGTAAACAGGCTCCACTACCCCGTATGTCGAATCATCAATTCTGTGTGCCCGGGTGTCTACCCGGCGTTCTACCCGATCTGCAGTCTATTGCCCGTAAATTGCCTGTGAGTTACATATTGAAGATGATCAATTAGTTCCCTCGCTTAGAGCATGACCACAGCTGTTTCGTACCTTGCAATATTTTGTATCTTGCACGGCGTGATGTGTCAAAATCTTTCTTAGGGCGGAAGCATTGCATGACGTTTCTAGCTGCTTCTAATTCATTGCAGTAGGACCTGCAGAGTTATGCACATGAATGGATATAGAGGACCTCGTTGGCCAGGAAATTAAATTGCTTTTGTGGGGCTAAATGGGAGATCTTTGCAGAAGGGAAGTTCGGAAAATTTTACAATCTCAACGGTATCTGAACCTGCTGATCATCTCGTCTATATTGCATTATAGAATTGGCTATGTATACTAGATTTGCCGTTGCAGTGATACAAAGCAATCATAAGATCGTAGAATACCCATATAATGACTCTTTATAGATATACAAAAAGCCCTTCTGTTGACTCTACCCCAGTGGGGTATATAAAGGTTGGATTGACGTAGTACGCCACAAACCACAGATTCTACAAAATAGTATGCTCTAAATATCGTTGCAGACCGAACCTTTTGGAATTTAAACTATGAGACTATCCGAGCTCTCCGCCCCCACGTTTTACGCTTGCGACATGCCCTCTTGGGTATCCTTTTAGTCGATCACCGACCACCGGAACCAATTGCTATATTTTGAATATCCGTTCTCCAAAAAAACAATTAAGATGCGCCAATCCCATTCCAAGGGCGGTAATAATCTATAAAACACTGCTGGGCTATCAGGATTCAGGACTGGTTGCATATGTGGGGTACATCCTCTTGGCTGTTAGTATGCTCCAGAGTGCGCGCAGTCGCTTCAAAAATACTGTACTGGTCAAGACAGACTCTACCTAGGCGAACTTGCTTGAGCCACCATTCGGTGAGAGTTTCAGCGTGTGACAAAACTTGGCCGGTGTTCTCCCCGGGAATGCCTTTTACCGGCAATGAAAGGCAATAGAATCCTAAGCTATGCAAGGCACAATCACCAATGATGACATTCCCAATCTGGATCTTGCAAAGTACGAGGTTCAGAATCTCCTCGTCGCTTTGTCCACCACACGACATACTCTCGGGCAAATGCGCTGTAACCCAGCAATAACCTGGCATGTCGTCGTGGGGATCTGCGATTCGGCCCCTGTCATTCATAAACACACTGGCTTGAAGTTTACAATCGGACGTCATCCTGTAAAATAGTAGGAAATTCCTTCTTGATTGGCTGATTGGTGGTTAAAAAAAAGCTCCCTGTGGATTATGAGAGAAACGTGAGGGAACTACGGCCTTCTATACGTTGACAACCGAGACAATCTACAGTGGCCTTTTCCAGTCTTTGACAAAGCTCCATAACGATGAGGTCTTTCATAGCCTTATAGATCAAGTCTATATATGCCCGATTTCCATTGATTTATCGACAAAGGCCTTGCTTGTTCTTTGTTATCTTACGACCGATGGATATGGCACAGTTATTTGAGGATCTACCCGCTTTCATTTCATTATATTCATCCTTCAGGTTTCATTAATCCGTATCCACAGGAACAATAATACTATGATACTAGTCTAGATCGTACATCGGTCGTTCCGTCGATTTCTCTACGTTGTTGCCACTAAAGTCCCACAATGTGTATCCACAGGGTCGATAATGCCTAGAAGAAAGCAACTTAAGGTGTGTGAAAATTAGAGTGCAAATTGCATAGGGCGGGATGTGATTATCTTCCGGTCTTGGAGTACTTTTCAGGTACACATGTATGCAGTAAGATTAACCCCCGCTGATCGTCAAGGACCACTATATTGTAGTTCGATCTGACCATAAAGCAAGGAAAGCCAACCCCATCGGTCTCAAACTTAGATAATCTAACGGTTTCGAAATAGGAAAGAGCAAACAAGTTATGTGACATTGTATAAGAATCGACGCATATACTCCTTTTGGTCATGATCGCCTTGGTGCACCTGGACAAATTCCCCTTGAGAGGGCTTGATTGTTCGCTTTGTCAAATACTTACATTTGACTATCGCACGTTTCTACTTTTTATACGCATGAGCATCTAGTTACATAGTTAACTAGACCCTTGGATGATTAGTTAACTAACTAACTAGTTAGTTAACTACCCCTCTCTGCCTGAAATATCAGTCACCGTCTTCCCAATCGGGTGCGACCATAGATTCTGCCATAATTCCTCTCAAACCTCCTGACATGTTGACGAGCATTGTAAATCATGGTTTCGCTTTTTCTCTCGATTCTGCAATGTCATCTGTATCATCTCGTTCTCTTCAAAATAACTCTGCTCTTTAAGATTCGTCCTAGGTAATGTTGAGTGCTGTAGAGGCCCGTTAATGGGAAACAACCTCCAGGTATAGCGTATAGCGGACGAGACACAGGCAACGTCAGTCATGGAAGACCCAGGTGCCATAAATATCGATAACCTGGTCCGGTACGAGCCTCTTGTCGGCGAAATCTTAGGCGAAGGCTCAACTTCCCGTATTGCACGCGTGGCGCCAGGTGTCATCATCAAATATCCACGATTCTCTTGGTGGCATTCTAAGACAGTGGCCGATAAATGGTTCGTTCGAGACATAAAGCAGAGTTTTGAGGTGGATGAACGACTTCTACAAATCCTAGGACTACATCCAAGAATAATAGAGTCCGTTAGCCCTTCACTCCTTATGGCCATTGATTGACTTCTTCCTAGGTTCAAGGGCATCTCGGAGGACCCATTTGGATTGTTATTTGCCGAAGCAAGCGATGGAAATCTACAAAACTACATCGACCAGCACTATACTAGCATCGATATGTCTCTACGACTTAAATGGCGTACACAAGCCGCGGAGGCGATCCAATTCATTCATCAGAAAGGTGTGATACACTCTGATCTTCGGCCTGAAAACTTTTTGCTGCACACTGTCGCCGGAAACGAGCTCGATCTTCTACTCTGTGACTTTGGGGGGTCAACAAATGGAGAAATAGATGGTCGGCATCTCCCCGATGCCGGATTTTTCAATCCTTGCCTTCCGCCGGAATCGACGATAAGCACGGATATCTTCAGCCTCGGATAATGACTGGCCATTGGCCATACAGGCCTCCAGGTCCATTCAAGTCTCTAGAGGAGATGGAGAAATACCAAGAACTGGTTGACGATCTATCTGCCTCTAAAAGGTACCGGTTGACGGACTGGCGGCTGGATCTGTGATACAACGATGCTGGACAGGAGAATACTCTGATTCGAGGGCACTCATTGAAGACCAGCGTTGGCAGTTTGAGAACGACACAATTTCAATGCACTCGTAACGCATGCGGTTCTACTGAGCCAAATACAATGTTACCCGAGCTAGCGTGTCATAATCATAATCAATGTCCTTTCAATGCCCTTTCCATATGAGCCCTTGACTCTACTCTTGGACATTTCTGGGGCTTGAGAGCTCTTAGGTCCCCTTTCAAAACACTTGTAAATGACCCCCTTTCGGAGTCCAGCTGCAGCTTTCTGATTTAGCACATGTGCAAAATAGACAATATAGTGATGTTGGGCAAACCCTATTGCGCACCGTCAGCCACTCCGGTATTAACATCGCGTGATTCTAGGCGCGTTTCTGGTCTATATCTAAAGACGAAGAGGGTGACCGTTATCAGATCTCACACTCTTCCCTATATCGGTACCGGAATATAGAGGTGCCACAATGACATTCATATTCTTTTTTTTCAAACAGATCCCTGTTGAGGATACTAGTGGCAATCAAAGCTCCAAGGAGATTGAAACCAAAGATCTTACTCGTCCTAGGAACTATCCGTGGAGGAACAAGTGCAGTGGGCGTCTGTCGCGTGTCTAGGATCTGCTCACCGCCTTCGCGCTCTTCGCGCCCAGTCCGCAACTCCGCCAATGTCCAATCCTGGTCTCAAGGCACTGGACATCGAACCAAGCTGGAATCGAGAATTCTATATGTTCAAGAGAATGTTTCAGATTGTTTAGTTCTCATAATCACCACACAAGCACCCTCGGCGAAGATATTGGACCAGACCTCGTCTCTTCGATCGGCGGTGGTATCGCAACCCTTCAACCCCGTGAGAATTCAACAGTCAACGCAAGACCACCAAAAGCACTCTCCCAATTGTATAAGTGGGATCGCACAGACTGGAAAAATTTCGAAAATCCATCTGCAAGACTCTACACCCTCGATACAATCCACATGATGTCTCCGGCGCTCTCAGTGGAACTCATATCGGTTTAGTTTTGCCCGCGCCATCTTCGCTCGCATATTTGAACCTCGCAGGAGTCTACAAGCTTCATAGCTCACAAATACGAACGGGAATTAGTTGGGAGCTATCATCTCGACCCTCCTCCTAACACAGCTATCCGCTCCACTTGTGAAAGCCATGGCGGAGATGGAGGCGGCCGTCGGCGCAAACCACGTGAACGGCTCCGCGACCAAAAAGTCCACAACCGACCCCTACGAAACCAACCTCGATCGCATTCCTAGCGATGACCCGTTTATCTCCCTGAGTGCGCAATACGGCCGCTACACACCCCGCGCCGACGATTTCACCCCTCGCTTCATGAACTGGTATCAGTCTGATCCGACCGTGAACTCTTTCTGGGAGAAGGTCGCGCAGAAATACTGTACCCCAGAATACTCACTAAATATTTCAGGTTCGAGGGAGGCATTCGCGTCTGGGAGTATAATTATCCGGGTTGACCGCGAACTGGCCGACGGAGCGGCGGCTGCGAGATACTCATCTGCTAATGCGAATGAACTGTTAGCCGCGCAGAAGGCAGAGGACTCGCTCAGAGAGATCGGAGTTGCAGTTCCAGTGGTATATTTTTGCGGGACGATTGAAGGGAGGAACGTGACAATCGAGTCGCGCATTGCTGGCGTCTCGCTGGAAGTTGCATGGAGGTATCTCGACACGGAACAGATCGAAGTTTTCAAAAATCAGTGTCGCCAGATCCTCCAACGGCTCGGAACAATCGATTCCCCCTCAGACGAACCATCCTATGTATGCCGTGAACTCAATTCGCAAATTCCCCCTTCCGTCGACACTCGCGAACGAGATATCCTATTTACAGACAAAACCAAGGAGGAAGAACTATCTTTGACACACAACAACCTCATTCCAAGCAATATTATTGTCCAGGATGATCGGGTGGTGGGAATCGCTGGCTGGCGACAATGCGGATATTTTGGCAGTATCAGAGCCGAGAAGGTCCATCGACTCTTCAGGGATCTTGGTCCTGCGTCTCAAAATGGCGTCGACACCTCCGAGAATGGTGTGACTTGGTCCGACCTCTATGATAATGCCTACGACCCCAGTAAGGGCACTCCGCTAGTCGCAAACCAAGATACACCCCTGCCGTCAGTCAAAACCGAGCCAACAAGCTCTACCCTCGACAAATTCCCAGCTAGCAACGACTTGGACACAAATTCACTAGGTCTAGATGGCACGAGCGACTACGCGACGTCCAAAACAGTGGCGAATCTCAAGCATGGGCTGACGTCGAGGGCGTCATCATCCGACCGGTCCTCCCCAGCAAATTCCGTCAAACCAGCAAACAAAAAGCCCACGACAAGCACTAACAAAAAGGGAACTGCGAAGAAGCCAGCCGCCAAGAAGCGCAAGGTAAATGACCCGGACGCAGACAGCCTTGATGGGCGGCGTTCGAACACACCTGTTTCCCGGGCCAGCAAAACACCTGCCAAGAAACAAAATTCTGTCTCGATCGCAGGGTCACCCGCTCCCGAAGAGAAGAAAAAGCCACAGAAGAAGAAGAAAAAAGGGCCCAAACCACCTACTGCTCAGGAGAATGACGACTCCGACAGCTTCGATGAAAACGCGATCTTCTGTATTTGCCGCCGACCTGATAACCATACGTGGATGATCGGGTGTGATGGCGACTGTGATGACTGGTACCATGGAAAATGCGTCAATATCGATCCTCGAGATGCGGATTTGATTGAGCGATATATCTGTAAATGCCCCATGAGCGACGGATCTATTACATTTCAAGACTGACTTTATACACCAGGCCCAAACTGCGCAAGCGAAGGAAAGGGATGCACAACATGGAAACCGATGTGCCGTCTGCTCGAGTGCCGGAAACCGGCGCGCGCTAAGACGAAGCCCCCGAGCAAATACTGCTGCGACGATCACGGCCGGGAATTCATGCGCCAACAGATTCAGCATCTTAAACAACGTACCGGTCAGACTAATGGTCTTTTTGAAGATTTGGGTAGTATGGGTGGCATTCTTACAGCTGGGGACTTGAAAGCTGCCATTATGGGGGTGACATCCACACAAGAATTCCGAAAGCTCGGAGATCGCATCATCTCCCCACCACCACAGATAGATGACAAAGAAACTGCTGTGACTATAATCAAGCCGGATTCAAATCCGCAGACCGGAAGATGGCTGGGAGTCGACGTCCATGCCAAGGGCTTGGAATATTCGCCCGACGAGATTGCGAAGATCGAAAAGCTGCGCACGCAGCGTGAGGAGCTCCTTCATCGCAAGGAGATGCTTGCCGCACGCACAACGTTCGTCTCTCTTCTCAAGCCCCGCGCCAAGGGCGTAGTAGAGAAACTAAAACAGCACGAGCCGAAGGGCGGATGGAAAGATATCTGTGGCTTTGACTCGCGGCTCTCGTGGTCTGACGAAGAATTCGATGAATGGCGACTCTCCGACGCTGGAAAGAAAGCTCTCGCGGAGGGAACAGCGGAAGCTTTGGCTGTGAGCTCCTCGGCTGGCACTGATGCAGACGGGGACACGGCGATGAACGGCGACGGCGACGATGATATTGCATTTTGGACGCGTGGCGTGTGCACTAAGAAGCGGTGTGAGAGACACAAGCAGTGGGTCAAAGTCCAGCAACAAGATATTCTCTTTGAGGAGGAAACGGCAGAGCGGGATCTCGCCAAGTGTGAGGAGGAAGCTCGGTCTGTGGTGGAGCGGGGTGTGATGAGACGATGGGCCGAGAAGGATAATCAGGCTTGAATGCCAAATGGATTTTCTCAAGGGTCTTCCATGGCCAGCCGGATTTCACAAAAGCTTGATACCCCTTGACAAAAAAAAGCCTCATGGACTGGAGTTGGTATTTTGCAGATTATAACATAGCAGGATGGTACCTAGTGGCTGAGTTTTTGGGCCAATTGCATACAAAACGGCGCTTTGCGAGGGGATCTGTCATGTTTGAGAATATTTTTTGTAAGAGTATGAACAATTGCATCGAGATCGATCGAGGTCAACTTTTTCTGACAGTGACATGGCAAATGGTTTATCATTCATTGCTCGTTCCATATTCCCCATTTACCTAGACTCGTGCCAACTCGATCTTTGATCACTTCGACTGTCTGAGCTCCTCTCAAATCAGAAACCAACAAATGAGTATCGATGCCTTGGTCTAACGTCTTCATGAGCAAGGTGGGGAACAAGGGGGGAATATCAGAATGGAAGATGGAGTGGATGCCATCTTCCAGCGGCTGCCTCGTAGCATCATCTCCATAGGTAGTAGTATTTCCAGTCGAGGGTTGATTTTTATCCCATCCTGGATACATAGGCCCCAGTCCATTAGTATTGACGAGAATGATCGAGAGATGAGAGGCGTGCACACGAGACAAATGCGTCAAGGTGCGGAGTGTAGCTGTGAGGACGGCTGCACCTCGAGCCGGGTTGGAGGCTCGAATTACCCCTTCGGCTAGAGTATCGAGACCCGCAATAATGAAGACAATGGGATTTCCGGTGGGTGGGCTTGCCTCGGTCGATTTTCTCTGTTTTTCTCTGTTTTCTTGGATCTCGTGCAGCGCTTCCGAGACCTTACCGATGGCCTGTGCGGCATTGGGGAAGTTTTGTACGGGAAGTAACTGCACAGAATCAAGTCTACGGATTGCATCATCCCTTGATAGACCAGGCTGGTCATGGGAAGAAGACTGCAGCTCATTGAGTAGAGTCCTCGGGGCAAAAGCCTCGAAACTTCGTGGGTGGATAATGAACGCGTTCGGCTCAGATGATGGATGGATACTCCGCAGTTGATTTGTGAGAATGTATCGAGGAATCTGTGGTAATACATGTATTAGTCTCATTGGCAATGTACGAGTGGTATTGAGTCGGTCATACCTCTCCGATATACTCGTTGCTTTCGTTGCTTCTCATTCGCAGCCTGGAGAAGCCGAGGACAACTCCACACCGAAATACCCCTTCCTTGGAGGATTGAATTCCCTGTTTCCAATCACTTTTGAGGTTCCAGTCATTTTTTTCGGTTGTCTCATTTGAAGGAGGAGCTTCACTTTCTGTTGACTCCGGCTGTCGGAGTAGAGAATCAGCAAGGTCCGGGAATGCAGGCTCTGCCGAGTAAACATTCAGTGTGCTTGCCATGATTCTGCGTATATACAGCCTTGTCAAGTTGTAACAGATCTGATATCAGGATATAAGTAGAAGAAGCGAAGAGTGAGCGGTGGGTGGAGACAAAAGCGAAAGTGGATATTCCCCGATGTGGTCTAGCCTCATCCTATGAGCTTCCTCCGTTTGATCGACTCTACTTGAACGTTCAATTCATTTTTCTTGGATACTAGGAATATTTCAATGTTGGTCTTGATCATGAAGTAAGAATTGCATATATGAAAAAGTAGATAGAGAAGATGCTAAAGGTACATTGCTGTAAAGATATTATCAAGCTCGTTTCCATATTCCACGCCCATCATGCACCCAGCCACCGTCTCCAATGACATCGTCCAAAATGGCTAGCAGATCCTGCCGCATAGGCTCCACATGCAGGTCGCCGCACCTGAACTCTTTCAAACAGGGCAGATTATTCACAGTATACCCAACCAGGGAGTACGAGGTTGCGAGTTCCATCCATGGATCATTAGGGTCCATGGACCCTCGTTGTTCAAGCTCGGTAATATGATTATCCTGAGGGGGAGCCAACTGTACGTCAAGGCGTCGCAGGTGACGCATTCTTACAACCGCATCCAGTACAATTTGCGAGTGATTGTAAAATGGAAACACAGCCGTGTAGGAAAAGTATGTGAGGCCATCTAAGAGGGCTGGCAGATTGGTTGGGCGTTGGAGCGTACGAGTTGAATCGCGTATCCCACTTGTGCCCCATTCTGTAAGAACCGATGGGACACATGAGAGGAAGTACTCGTAGTGGTTGTATGCTTTCAGAGAAGACGACTCGTTAAAAGTCATCGATGTCCAAGGTCGTGACGCTAGAAGACTAGTACAAGGCTGCAGGTCAGGCAGGTGGAATGGGTCCCGAGGTGTGCACTCTCGTTCCAAAACCAAGATCTGTAGGGGCATATCAAATGCCCAGTGGTGTCCATCATTGATCGGGGTAGCTAGAGTGTTTCCAATGAAGACTGGCGGCCCTATTACTAGAACACGACAAGGATCTAAATAGCGGAGGACTCGGCGCCACCAAAATGGGTCGATCTGACGATCTGGGTTTTCATCCGCAATCGCGACGAGAGACTTCACATATTGACAGAGGTCTGATTTGACCATAAACGATTGGAAGTTGGGTTCATCATGGAGCTTGAGCCGGACGTAACTGAACAGTTTCGGTCGCACAAGTTGAGATAGGCGCCGTGAGCACAGTTCGAAATGCTTGAGGTCTTTTGTTGGAGACTGGGTGAGTTGCAAACTGGGTGCATGATGTAGTTGTCCGAATGATGGTGGCTCCGTGGATAAGTAGGAGATAATCTGGTCTAGGAGCTCATTGGGGAGAAGTTCCAATGGAGATGCTGGCACAGACATGGCAAATTGCTCATGTCGAGGGCCTCGCCCCACATTACTATGAACAATTGGATATCCAGTACCCCGTACTGCCCAATGTGACAGTATACCAAGAGTGCACTAGTCGACTAAGATGGGGGTAGTCGTCGGCTGAGGGGATGAAAGTGAAGTGCCGGGCTTCCCCACTCCACTGGCTCCACTGAACTCTGTAATCGGTGACTCAGCGGATGGTCTTTCGAATGGTTTTTGAAAATGAGAGTTATTATAGATGTGTGGGCTCCTTTAGAAGAGGGTTCGAAAGAAATGTTAGGGTTCGGACAAATAGATACAATTAACAAGGGACTACGAGTATAACAAAACTTATAGAAGCAGGAAACCTCGTGGTCCGTGCACTATAATGGATTCGAGACATGTCCGATACGCAAGAGTATTAGGATGGTATTAGGGTATGAAGATAGTATTAGGAGGGTGTATTAGCATTAAAATAGTCGGAATGACGTGGAGCAATGGCACTGTCCGATTGCCAAGGATCCCCCCTGTACTTATAGAACAATTGCTTCTTGAAATGACCCAACAAGGAAATCAGCATAGAAACTACAAACAGGGGAAACCCACAGAGTCACAAAATTGTGGAGAGCCTCAGCGTTTTGCTGTGGGGCATGTCTATCATGGCTGGATACGATGTAGAGCACCTCACATGAGATGCAATGGCAATGTCATGCCCCTCTTTTGATTTATCCGTTTCACAAACTTCCCTTGCTTTCTTCTCACGTTCATTTTCTCAGTAGATCTCTAAGGTAAGATACTGTAGCATCTTATAAGAATAACGCTCATCGTCTCTCGCAGTTATCTATATACTCCCATCACAATGGCTCCTCAACTTCACCAGCGTCCTCCTTTCCGCGCAGAGCATTTGGGCTCTCTCTTACGTCCACATCAGCTTCTGGAAACCAAGCTCGCTTTTGAAGCTGGCAAGATCCCCGAATCTCAACTGACCGCTTGCGAGGACAAGGAGATTAAAGCCATCGTTGAGATTCAACAAAAGCTTGGTTATGCTGCTATGTCTGATGGCGAGTACCGCCGTCACAGTAAGAGATCCGGAGAGCCATTGAGTGAGTGTCGTTGACAGAGATAGTGTTCTGGGGTACTTTCTTCCCCGGTTTGGACGGCTTCGAGGAGGTCAACAATGTCGATGTGGATGACTTCCGTCCCTATGCCCCCGATATCGCCGCATTTTTGGAGGCAGGCCACAAGCCCGGTGAGAGCGTCATTTGTACCGGCAAGATCAAGCACGTCGGTAGTACCTATGTCGATCAGTTCAAGTACCTCGCTAGCCAGGTCCCTGCCAACGAGGTCGGAAACCTGAAGATCACTCTTGCCGCGCCTAACTGGTACCACCTGCGCTACCGCGAGGGCAAGGCTTACCCCAAGTCTGTATACACCAACGACGAGGATTATTTCGGCGACATCGCCAAGGCCTACCAAGCCGAGCTTCAGATCCTGTATGAGGCCGGTTGCCGTAATGTCCAATTCGATGACCCCAACCTAGCTTGTAAGATGTACCCATCTAGCCAATATCGATTGACTAAACTAACCTTCCACTCAGATTTCTGCTCCGATAAGTTCCTCGCTGGCTTTAAGGAAGACCCTTTGAACGTGTATTCCGCCGACATCATGTTCGAGAAGTATATCAAGCAGTACAATGACTGCTTCATGAACCTGCCCGCCGACATGCACGTCGGTGTTCACCTATGCCGCGGTAACTTTGTCGGCAGCCGCCACTTCTCCGAGGGTGGCTACGACCGTATCGCCATCAAGCTCTTCCAAGAACTGAACGTCCACACCTACTACCTCGAGTATGACACCCCCCGTGCCGGTGGTTTCGAGCCCCTCAAGTTCCTGCCCACTCACAAGAACGTCATTCTGGGTGTTGTCACTAGCAAGTTCTCCAAGCTTGAGGATAAGGAGGATATGAAGAAGCGGGTCATTGATGCTGCTAAGTTCATCGCTGAGGGTAACAACATCTCCCTCGATGCTGCGCTTAACCAGGTCGGTGTTAGCCCACAGTGTGGTTTTGCTTCCCATCGTGAGGGCAATGCCATTGACTGGAATGGTATGATCAACAAACTGCAGCTGGTCCGTGATATTGCCAACGATATCTGGCCTAACCAGGCTTGAACTTGGTGTTTTAGAGTAAACAATAAAATCACTTTTCTGTCCGTTTTTAGTTCTAATTCTGCACGGCGCTTTTTTAACATACCTAGGATGAATGTTTTAATATTTGTTTGAACGAGCACCTGCTATCTTTATTCTTGAATATGGTTAACGCTTCTTTGAAGTTCGATTTTCTGTCCTCGTCTCATTGTAATGCAAGGAGCAACAACGGTCTCTGTCTACTTACATGAAGCGCGAGGAGCAGCACTGGCTTTCGATTCCCCCTGATCTCACACAGGCTGCATCAAGGACCTCGCCACTTCAAGCTTTTGAGGCATAACAATCTTCTCTTTAACCAGTCTAGCGATCACACGCACAGTCCACCCCTGGCAATTCTCCGTAACAGACTTCCGATTCTCCGCTTGGGGAGGAAGCTCCTCCTCCGCAGCCTGTTTTACCAGCTTCGCTACTCTGGCCTGGTCTTCCGACACAACAGCAAGGGTGTAGACGTTGGCAGTGAGGCCAGCGTCAACGACATTGATCTTATCAGTCGACGGGTCGTACTTCATATCCTGTGCATCACCCGTGACTTGGTAAACATATCCGTAGTCCGGCTCGTTTTCATCGGCAAGGAAGAGTGCCCAATGGTTGGGCTCTCCGGGGGCTTGTTCTTCTTGGACGAGATAGAGATAGAGATGGGGATTTTCGGCCGGTGGCTTCAACTCCTCGGGGTTCGAAGTGTCCTCGGTCCAATCTTGCGCACCCCGCTTCCTGAAGAATGTGCGGCCGTCGACCTCGCACACTTCTCTGAGACCCCTTGTCTTGATGGGAGTTCCCGGCGGGGGAAAGACGCTCGTCTAGAAAAATGGGGTATTAATATCCTGTTTCCTATGGGTGTGAACAGTTTTATTGATACCTGCTGTAAAATCTGCCGCATAGTGTCGATTTAGTCGAAGTTCATTTTGCTGGTGTTGTGAAAGTATTGGCCAGTGTACTGTGGTAGTTACCCAGGTAGATATAGTCAGATGACGAAACCAATCAAACACAACAAATATGCAGGGATCATCGCCTTTATACACGAGTCATTCAGGCACCGTTGAAGAATATCGTTGATTCAATCAATCTCAGAGCTATTTCCTTGCACAACAGCCCCAAGGAACTCTTCTTCTGAGTCCAGTGATTCTTGGTATACAGTCACCATTTTTTCCTTTCCCTTGCCTTCTATTGGCTCGTTTGAGTCTGCTGTTTGTCTTGAATTGAGCTCTTCAACCAATTTTTCAAGACCTTCTCCTATATCCCTTAGATTTTGCAGGTCCTCAAATACCATAGTCTCTTTTGCTTCTTTCTCCCATTTATCCAGCTCAGCTCTTTTGATGCGTATTTCTTTGAGTTGCACGAGCAACCTACCTTCTAGGAGATCTTTGCTGCGTTTGAGCTCTTCAATTGTTGATCGGATTTCTCTTCGGAGTAGCATGACTTTTTCAGATCGGAGTGAATCATTCAGAGCTTCAAGAAATATCTGAGCATTTTCGGCAAGTCGCTCAATTCCAGCTGCAGTCTTTCGAAGTCTGTGGACGGCCGAGTGCCTCAGCTCTCGAAGGAGGCTGATAACCTCATCTAATGGCCTCGTCAAATTTTCCTTCAGCCGTGTGGAATGCCGACAAAATAACTTGGTCCATTCGGTAAGCTCTACAGCTTCTGTACAGTCCCAGCCGTGTTCTTTCAAGATATGGGGAAAGTCCTGCTGAGCGAACTCGAAGCAACCTTCCTCCAAAAGTCTTTGAATGGCTGTCAGGACAATATGTTGACCACGGTAGTGTATGTACACTGGGTAGAGCGATGGAACTGTAGGAGTTATGTCCGAATTTAAGCCCGCAGAATGTACTGGATTGGGTCAGCACTCGATGCAGAGGAACTCACGACAATGAAAGCTCACCTTCAGTCTCCACGTCTGTCTCCCGTTGATGAGTAGCCCGAGGGACAATTGCATCTTTTCCTGTCGTCTCTATCTGGGAGATTTTTTGAACTGTATTTGCCTCGTCTCTCGCTGCTTCCGCCTCCGAAGCTTCCCTTTCGGCGCTTTGAGTAGGCGAAACATCGAACAACTCTGGGAAGCGAATTTTGGCTTTCAGTGTAGAGTCAAACACCCGATTCTCTAAGAGTTTCTTGGCAACGTTGCTGGTTCGATCGACGTTGTACTCCCGCAGAATATCTGCCAATGCGATTTTGTTCTGTTCTATCAATCCTTTGACTGTCTTCAATTTTCGCACCTGGGAGTTCGAGCCACGAAAGATATGCTGGCATGCGAGGTAAACCAACCTCTCATCAGGGTCATTTTCTGCCATGGCGTAGCAGAATAAATCTTTGCCCAAGTGCCAATTAGCGAATACTTATAAACAGCAGTTTGCTAGAACTTCCGTGATGCGGACGCAAGCAGCGTCTCCAATTAGTGGAATACACCTGAAATTGTAACCTTGGAGGCACCTTCGCCTCTTCAACCAGTGTTATAATTAAACTGTCTGCTGTGCTTTTGGGGGGTCTTTTCACTTGGTCTCAGGGCTTTCTTAATGATGTTCTTCCGTGTTTGGAACTCTAGGAATGCTTGGTTCAACACAATACCCGCAAACAACCTTTTATCTTCAGCAGAATCACAGTGCATTATATAACCGTCGACTTTTTAATTGCTTTCATCGTTGTTTTTATAAATCTCAAGAATGACAATGCACATATTCCAAGCAAATACACTGAAGCTAGTTTACATTGTATACTTGTATGGTGCTTCATGAAGAACGTATCGGCTAGACTAGCTAGTACTAGTAATTTCAGTGAAACTTCTCAGAAGAGAATCCCACTGAATGTCATCAATAGGGAATATGCCGTCCAAGTCGCCATATATCGACGGCCAAACTGTAGATGCCATAGCAACATCATTGGGAGGAACTTCCCCCATAGACACATCCTGCCTTGCATCCTGAGATAGCGCATTTCCAATGATATTTCTGACTTGGTAGGGATAACTTCGAGCAAGCTGCCGCATTTTATTGCAGAGACTACCCACAACATCTGTCTCTTTTTCTGCAGTAGACATGCCCTCAAACCTCACATCCAACGTGTTGGCAAGCTCTGTGACAAGACTGGGGTAATCTGCCATATCGATGACAGCTTGGGCTTGGGATTCGGTGGAAGAGTCAATAGGGCCAGTAATGAGATTGAGCAGGGTAAATACTAAAGTGGGAATGTAGCCCACTCCAATACATAAACGAGCACTTGTCGATATTGTCATTTGACTGATTTCTGATATTCGCAAGTTTCTGATCGTGTGAATGAGCTCTTTGCTCCGTTGAATCATATTCATTAACATGGTGATGCGGACTGCGTGGGTAGATTCCATAGTCCACAGTTCTTCTCGAAGACATAGCTCCTCGAGGCGTACCTCAGTGTACTTGAGTTCTGTGCGTATTGCATTCTCTGTAGAGATCGGTCAATCCCAGCCAATCATCTAAGGTCCCTGACATACCCGTTGACGAAGGAATCCCGGCGAGGTCTTTCTCCACGGACGCTTTCAAGTTATTGAACTGTTGCAGCAGACAGCCATGCATGACCTGGACTTGTACTGTCCCACCGCTTGGCTGTATCGAAGCATGGACGTCATCCAATGTTGCCAAAAAAGACTGTATCTGAATGAATGGTGCGATCCATCGATCTGGAATTTGCTCGGTTGATGATAAACCCCAAGTGCACCTATCGATTTGAATATCTCGGCTCATGCTAGTTAGCCGACCGAGACTTCCATGGAGGCTGAGATGCAGTTAGTTAGAGCTGCATCTATTAGTGCAGACAGCCTCACCTAGAAGACAGCCAGTATGTGCCAAGTAATGCCCGCTGCTCATCTAGAGTTAAATTGGTCTTTTTGTGCAGCCCCAAGTCCTGTGAAATAGAAACAACAAATTGAATCAACAGCAGAAGCCGCGGGTGATTTTTCTCCCCAGGATATGAGTACCATGCGCTGTGAACAAGCAGACCACGGAGTAATTCGAGGTTTCTCTCAGATCGTGCCACGATTCTCATGGTGACATGCTTCATAATTTCATCCGCGACGATCTTGCGAAGAGGGGACGCACTGCCGATAGTGGCAGCCACGATGCACAAAAAGAGGAAAGGCTGTGTACGCCTCAGACTTTCAGCCGTCTCACCACTTCCAAGCAGAACAAAAGGAAATTTAGGAATAAAGTCAAGCTGGAAACTCGTAACTAAGCGCTCAGCCTCGGCTTCGCTCAAAAGACCCCGATCAACGATAGTCGGCTGGCCCTCCATCGCAGAGGTAGTAGGCGGATCGGGACCGTGTGACGGATCTTGAGCAGCAGCATGCAGCGCGTCGGTGTCTACCGAATCCAAGTCCGGGTCATGACTAGAGGCCGAGTCGTGGGTGGGCGGGTTGAGAGTATCGGACGGGGTCATCACGGTGTGTTGGGTCAAGGTAGCCAGCTGTGACATCAGTTGGTCGACCTTCTTCTCCAGTACATCTACACGGCTGCATCCGTTATTAATGAAAGCAGCGCTTTTTGTGTTGGGACGAATCACCTTGGTGCAACCTTGTGCTTCCGCTTCGTCTGCGGGAGGTCAAGGTACGTGCATGCCTTGCCCAAACGAGCGCACCGTTGGCATAGGTCAGCAGCCTGCGGTGTACATTTCGCCTTAGCGGCCGTGCAAGCCACACAGGCCCTTCTTTTGACAGGGACTCTGGCGCTCATGATGTCGCTGCTGGAAACGGAGCGGCCGATCGAGGTGGATAAGCCGATTGCTGAGCAATCGGAGGGGGAAACGGGAGGACCGGAGCGTCCGGTCGGCGCCGATTTGTAATGATCTATAGATTCGCCGAAGTATATAATACGAGTCAATAACGAATATCGAAATAGAACCATCAGCATAGCAATTCAACCAAATCAATTCAATAAAAAATGGCCTCATACGCAATCACCGGAGCCTCCAAGGGCATTGGCCTCGAATACGTGCGTCAACTCGCCGCCAACAAAGACAACACAGTCCTGGCTATTGTGCGCAACCCCGAGTCGCAAGGAATTTCTGAGCTTGCCGCCAGGCATCCCAATGTCCATGCTATTAAGGGCGATGTCACAGACCCAAAGTCCATTCTCGATGCCGCTTCGGCCGCAGCTGCCACCACAGGTGGGAAGCTTGATGTTCTCATCCACAACTCGAACGCCGTTGATATGGCTACCATGGGCCTCAACCCGTCCCAAATTCCCTTTGATGCTGAAGCCACTCGGAAGATTTTTGAGCCATCGCTTAGCACAGGGATTTATGGAGGTCTGTGGGCGACCAATGCCTTCCTTCCCCTGATCGAGAAGGGCACCCAGAAGAAGATTGTGCATATCTCCAGCGCCATGGCGGACATGGATCTCATCAACAAGTCAGGAGTCAGCTACGCTGTCGCATACTCCGTCTCGAAAGCTGGAATGAATGTGCAAGTTGCCAAGTACGCAGCGGAGCTTGCGCCGAAAGGAATCAAGGTGCTTGCTTTGAGCCCTGGATGGGTTGATACGTGGGAAGGGGGTAAGGAGTCATATCTGTCACTGTATTAGAGATAAAACCTAACAGCCTTGCAGGAGAGAAACCGGCCGAATTAATTCAAGCGCTTGCCGGTATGCTGTCGCAGTTTCAGGCAGTGGAGCCAGGGCTCACGGGGCAAATCCAGCCCGAGGAAAGTGTTCGAAAGGGCCTTCAAGTGATTGAGAATCTGGATGCTGAATCTAGCGGCTTGTTCTTGAGTCAGAATGGAAACCAGACAAACTGGTTCTGAGCACTGTTGAGCTGTATTAGTGGATGTACAGTCATATTCGAAATCAGTTTTATCTCCACTCTTGTGACTTGATTCCCGAGCCCTAATTCCAGACACGCCAATCTACATTCCGTATACATAGCCGTCGATCCCCGATTCCAAGAATAGAACATGACGCGGGTGGGACCCCATGTACGGAGTATATTACAAGACAGAAATCCAACCAAGATACAGGTGGTCTAAACCTCGACGTAGTAAGTTAATTCTACACTGGCTTATACTGGAATTCTGGAAACCTCTAGACAAAGCAATTCAGCTCAATTTAGTATGCTAAGTCAATATACATCTCCCACCGGAATGGAAAGACATCGGTTTACTCCGCCGGTCCCTCGATGTTTCTCTCCTTTATGGAGGAGGTCTTGTGGGTGTGCAAGTTCTCGATCGTATAGCGTGTCTCCTCGTCTGACGAGCTGCGGCCCCCCAGGATCTCACGAACGAGTCCGACGCTCATGCTGGTTCTGGATTGTGGGCCTATTGGATTTTGTTAGACGGTGGTTCATTTGGACATGCATATGTAAAAGGGTTCATCATACCGCCGACCGGCTTGTAATTGACCTTGTCTCCTTCTTTGAAATGAGGCATTGTTGTTGGTTGCAGGCGTGTGGAATTGGATATTCCGAGAATATGTACTGAGTTGTACAAATTTGCGTGGACAGGTAGAGTCTTCCGGTATTTGCAGATAGAAAGAGTGCAACAGTCAAGCGAAACTATCATTATATTTATATTGGCTCATGATGGGGAAAGGAGTTCCGCTATCGTCATATTGAGGTAACTGGAGAAACGAGCTGACTGGGTTGGAATTGATGGCTATATGAACATCTAGATCTAATGCGGAGGTAGGCTCCGTGGAAACGACAAGACGCGAATTTGATAACGCACTTCAATCAGAAGTATGTCATTTGTTTATATTTTTTATGACCAATGCCAGAACTTGTCTATCTTGTCTCCGCTGTAGCCAATCATGTGCATAAGGGAGCGCATCCACAAAAGGGTATACAAACAATAACAACGCTAGATGAAGAGCAAAATGAATTAAAGTATTAAATTGGACCCAACAAGCCCATATAAGAACAGAGGGGATATCATAGAAGTGAAGATAAACAGGTAAACGCAACGAGATAACTGAGGCCAACAAAAGAAAAACAAAAACAAAAGCCCAAATGCTGCATGGTCTTGTCATCAGAACACGGACATGAAGAGAAAAGAAAAACACTTGAGAATGCGAGATGTTATACATCGAAGCTGCTCTAGGAGCGCCTCTCGGAATCACAGCGGTGTATCTTATTTCTGGGGCTGGGTCTTGACATTGTTTGAGAGCCAGGCCTAGTAAGAGATAGCATGGTTAGATTGACAGTTCCAAGGAGATAGGTCAGTGGTACGACTTACAAGACCCTCGAAAATACCTGTTCCATCTGTTGCAACACTGGGCGCAACGTACCACAACTTGTCCTTGAGCTTAGTCAATTGAAGCTGCTGAGTAACTTCCTCCGGGCTTAAGTCTAGGAGTGGGTCAGCGGACATATTCATCGGATTCCAGGAACAGGAGATACGCACGGCCAGGAACATCTTGCTTGTTGGCGAATACCAGAAGCAGAGCATCCTTCATTTCACGGTCGTTGATAATCTTGTGCAGTTCCGAGCGAGCCTCCTCCACGCGTGCTGTATCGCTAGAGTCAACCACGAAGATCAATCCTTGTGTACCGGAATAGTAGTGTCTCCAGAGCGGTCGGATCTTGTCCTGACCACCGACATCCCAAACGTTGAACTTGACGTTCTTATAGGTCACGCTCTCGACGTTGAATCCGACGGTAGGAATAGTAGTCACGTCCTGGTTGCTGAGTTTAAGTTTGTATAGAATTGCTGAAGAAATGTTAGCCAATCGTGCTCAGGGTCTCTATCTAAGGAGGAATCGTACTAGTTTTTCCAGCAGCATCCAAACCCAACATGAGGATACGCATTTCCTTGGTACCGAAGATCTTTCCCATCATCTTAGAGACTTGTCCACCCATTTTTGCAGGATTTGACGCGGTGTCGGGCGTGCTCAGGAGCTGCTTGGCGGAATATCAACAATTGCGACCCGCCTTATGTATTGCGCGTTTCGAAGAGAGAGTGAAAGGCACCGGATGTTTCCGTGCAAAGGGACTTCGATTCAGATGACTCTGTCAACGAAAGGACAGGAAAAGGAGAAAAGAAGGTTTGTTGGTGCGTGAAGACCTTCAATCCAATTTCCCTGAGGCGGGGGAACCTAGAAAAGGGGCTTGGGCTGGGCTTACTCATCATCTCCTCTCCACGAGGTCCACGGGGGCAGTTTCATCCTCTCGGCTTTGGTTTCATGTATATCAAATCATTCTCGAACTTGTTTCATTCATAGTTATACCGATTCCATGGACAATATAGTTCAGATGACTATCAAAACACTTCTCCGATGTCATTAAATCGTAAGAACCGTGGTTGTGACCTTCCTCATCCACGGAGGAATTACTCCGACCTTTCCCTTCATAAAGCACAAATTGCGAACAAATGTCATTTGATCAGGATGTAATGCCAATTCTAACGATCAGAAGAATTCTTAACCACCTATTCAACCTATTCAACACACATATCCGCCATATATAGCAAGATGCATCTGATATCGGAGCCTCTAGGTATATACTGGCCTATTTCTCCAACAAATACATTAGCGGTTTAGCCGAGTGGTCTAAGGGGATTGACTAGAAGTTCTAGAAATCAATTCTGTTCGTTGGCGCATGCAGCCGTCTTTGTTTCTTTTTCTCTGGCTTTCTCGAGATAGAATCGGAACTAACAGTTTCCTAAATATAGTGCAGCATGTCACCTCGCTTATAAGATACTTCGTTACTCGATGACAATTACACTTCTACTATTTATATACACATCCGAGTATTCTATATGGTAACCATGGACAGGTGAAATAGGTTCGAGAAGGCTGAACTGACGTTACGTCATGATGAAATGAAGTCACTCGTCAACTTCACGGGATAGCTACTTTTTTGATCTTATTTCTTGGATAACTTCAATTGCTTGGAATTTCTAAGAATCATGCCCGGCGAAGGACAATCGTTCGAACGCCATGCCTCAGTCACACAGCAGCGTCGACTTGCGCTACAGTACAAGCGCAACGCTTGGTTAGGGCCACCGTCAGATGTATGAACGTCTCCGAAGTAGCAGTAAAAGCCACTTCTTGAATGCTCAATACTAACAGGAATACTAGACTATCTACGCCGGTATCTCTAGCAACTTTCATGATTGCCATACGTCAACTATAGCAATCGCAATCCGGGATACCACATATTTACTGGACTTCATCGAGAAACAGTTCTCCCCTAGTCAAGCCTCCACAGAGGAGGCCACCGACTTCATCATTTCCGAGCTGAGGGCATATTCCATGAATCATCTGGAGAAAATTATCGGGGTAGCAATGCCTGAACATGTTGCAAATCACTGCACTCGACTGTGCCCTCGCCTTTGGGCGGAGCTCGACATCCTTCCATTAGTCTTGTCGAATACAACACTAATAGACAGAGTCAGCATCGGACAGCTTAGCGAGGCTCGAGACCCGGGATCTAATGGGTGGAGTGAAAAGACCATCGACGAACAGGCTGAATCCATGGCGCGAAAAGGTGTTAGGTTAGTTGGTTCCGCTCAATGTCATAAAGGAGCCATTGGGTCTAAGTGCGCACAGGCTATTTGGACCGGACAACATGCCCCTGCTACAAGTGGGCTTCTTCGGGCTCGTGGAAGTTGACACAGCCTACCATGTGCAAATGGCGGATCTGAGCGATTTCCAGAAAACCGTCTCGGATAGGACTTGGTCCGCGATGCAGCACTACGCCAATGAATTGAAAGAACGCAATACCAAAGTGGCATTTTTCAGCTCCACGCCTCAGGGTGGTGGTGTGGCTTTGATGCGGCATGCTCTCTTGCGATTTTCACATTGTCTGGGCGCTAACATCAAATGGTGTGTCTGTGCCGCTATCTGTGTCTAAGGATATAAGCACTAACCCAATGACTGCAGGTATGTCCCGAAACCACGGCCAGGCGTCTTCCGGGTGACCAAAACAAACCACAATATCCTGCAAGGTGTCGCCGATCAAGATGACCGCTTAACACCAGAGAACAAAAAACTCCTGACGGAGTGGATTGAGGAGAATACCAGGCGATACTGGACCAGACCAGGCGGACCTTTGCTTTCACCAGAAGAGGGCGGCGCAGATGTCGTAATCGTCGACGATCCCCAGATGCCAGGCCTCATTCCTATCGCAAAGAAACTAGCGCCAAATCGACCAGTTATATTTCGAAGCCACATTCAAATTCGAAGTGATCTGGTTGCAATATCTGGCTCTCCACAGGCGGAGGCCTGGGCATACCTGTGGGATAGTATTAAACAAGCAGACTGTTTTATCAGTCACCCTGTGAGCGCCTTCGTGCCGCGGAATGTGCCCGCAGAGATAGTAGGCTATATGCCTGCATCAACTGACTGGTAAGGGCCGAAGTCAGATAATCTGCTTGCATCTAACCGGGACATAGGCTGGACGGGCTGAACAAAACCATGCGCGACTGGGACATCGCGTACTATGGCCGCATCTTCAATACAGGCTGTCGCATCTCGGATATGCCAACTATCCAATGGCCCGAGGGTTAGTACCTGAACTAGAACTAGTTATGATGATCAGATCTTTCAGCGAAAACTAACACGAGATAGATTCATATATCGTCCAGATCGCGCGGTTCGACCCGTCAAAAGGCATCGTGGATGTGTTAGTTTCGTACGAGAAATTCTACAACAAACTAGTAGCCGAAGCGCCTGATATGCACCCTCCCAAACTAGTGATTTGTGGCGACCGCTCAGTAGATGACCCCGACGGAGGGCGGATCTACGACGATATAGTCGACTACCTGGACAAAAGAGTCCCAGATATCCGCCATCTGATCTGCGCGATGCGGGTGCGGCCCTGCGACCGAATCCTGAACACCATTCTCTCCAAGGCGACTATCGCACTGCAACTATCTACATCCGAAGGTTTCGAGGTAAAAGTCTCCGAGGCAATCCACAAAGGCAAACCAGTCATCGCCACGCGTGCTGGCGGCATCCCGCTGCAAGTGACGCATGGGAAGAATGGGTTCCTGGTTGATGTCGGCGATACCGATGCTGTGGCGCAGCGCTTGTTTGAGCTCTGGACAAATCACGATCTGTATACCCGCATGTCGGAATACGGCATGCAAAATGTAAGTGATGAAGTGAGTACCGTGGGAAATGCTCTCGACTGGCTCTATCTCTCTTCCAAGTTGCCGTATGGACCTGTTCTGCCCAATGGACGTTGGATCGATGATATGGCGTTTGAAGAGATTGGTCTCCCTAACAAAAACGACGAGTTGCGGCTCAAACGCGCAGTCCAGGTGGAGAATATGGGTTAGTTGTACTTTTTGTGGCCAGCATGTATATACAGACAAAATCCGATTATCTACCACAGGGGATACTTAATTAGCATACAAATCGATATATCAAAAACACAACATTGGAAGTAGCATGGGGGGTATCATAAAACCAGAAAAGAAGCCAAAACAAACCCACCAACCCCTCAAGGCCGTCCAACAACCCGATACCTCTCCCTAGCCATACCTCCCTCCGCCCCCTCAACACCATATCCCTCCCCAACCTCCCCGACAATCCTCGCCGGTCTCCCACCAACAATACACCAACTCGGCACCACCATTCCAGGCGGGACAACCGCGCCATCGAGCACATAAGCATAGTCTTTAATAATAGCCATACTGCCTATAGCAGCGCCCTTCCCAACATGAACATGATTCCCGAGCGATGCAGCCTCCACAACCGCGCCCTCGCCGACAAAAACATGATCGCCGATCTTGAGCGGGTAGAACGAGTATATGCCGCGGTGTAGCCGGCTCGGCGGGCGCAGGATCGCGCTCTTGGAGATGTAGCTGTATCGCCCGACCGTTATCGCTACACTGGGCGTGCTGGGGCTCGAGGCTGCTGGCGCGGAAGGGTTGTTTGGATCGGTGGGAGGGGGAAGTGTTGTCGTGCGGAATAGGTCGCCGCGGATTACGGCTTCGGCTTGGATGACCGTTTTGCCGCCCAGAATGATATGTTGCGTCCCGTGGATTTGAGACCGTCGGGAGATCTTGTTTCCTGTGTCCTGTTTTTCTCGGTGGGTTAGGGGGGTTCTTTTGTTTTGGGGTCGGTTGGGGGATTTGGTGGTTTCAATTGGGAGGGTAAGCTAGGGGGATCACTTACGGTCTCGATGTATTCGCCTTTTGCTGCCTTTGGTGGAGCCATTTTTAGGAGGATTGGCGAGTTTTCTGTCGTGGAATGCTGCAATTGTGGAGTTGGAGTTGCAACAAATATAGCTCGACCCCAGGATAGAAGATGCGGCAGTATAGTCCCAAGGCGGTGTATGTAAACAGCTATGACGATTTCGATAGACCGATTGCAATGATCTTCTTAGCTATTTTTAAGTCGCACTCAAATGGGAAAATTTGGAATTAATGAGATATTCATGAACTATACACTACGCTGCTGTTATTAAAGCTTCAACAACCTCCGGATATCCTGTCAATCAAACAGTTCGTCGAAAATAAAACAGTCAAAAAAAAAGGCATACAATCATAGCCAACCCCAAGTAAATTACCTCCACATGGCATGTCCGCAATGTTATATAAGGTGTTTCAACTGACAAACCCAAAAAGGGACCTCTCAGGAAGATGTAGCCTTCTTCTTCTGTTCCAAAGGACCATCCCAGTGCAGCTTAAGCGACATGGGGAAGGCACTGTAAGCACTTCCGTCACCGCGGAGGTAAAAGGAGTAGCCACCTTCCTGGGGAACCTTCTTAAGCTGGCCCTGGGCACCGGCAGCACGGCGGAGACCCTGCAGACGGCCGACGACACGCAGCATAGCAACGAGCGCGATTTTGGTGATCTGCTCGCCGAAATCGGTGGTGGGACCCTGACCGTGGTTGAGATATGAGGCAAG